TCTTCCTTGACCTTCCATGGCGATGTTGCCTAAGGCGACAGCTCCGCTGCAGAGGTGGAGGCAGTCAGGAGCACAGACATAGCGAGAAGGTACGGGATGATGGATGATGATGAGGAGGAGGAGGAGGAGGAGGAGGGGAGTTACCAGTGGTGTAGCGGACCAGGAAGCGATCCGGAGACTTCAACTGCACGTTTGATCAACGAGAGGAAGCCGAGGAGTGGAGGGAGCTAGAAAGGAAAGGGATGAGGGCATCGGTGGAGCGAGGACCAGTTGGACCAAGAGAGGAGGAGAAGGAGGAGGAGGAGGAGGGGGGGGGAGAAAGGAAGTTTCAGAATTTCCTCTCACCTGCTCTGCCAGCTCCTTGACCGACATGTGAATGTTCAAGTATTGGTCGCGCGCAAGAGACTCGATGAACAGATTTCCAAGAGCAAGAGCGGCGCTAGAGCAACGTCACTCGAAGACCCTCCGAGCTCATCCCCCTCTCCCTCGTCCCTGTCCTCTCCTCTTCCTCTCCTCTTCCTCTCCTCCTACTTCATCCTACATCCTTCACGACCTCCTCTCCTCCCCTCCTTTCTTCGTTCCCGTCCTCTCTCGATCACCCTCTGGCACCTTCGCCCTCATCCCCTCGTCTCGCACCTGCGCTTGCACTCCATGTCTTCTCCGATCAGCAGGCGCAGGAGCTCGGGAATGATGTCGAAGACTGCACAGCAAAATCAAATCGCCTCCTCCTCTCCTCCTCTCCTCTCTCCTCTCTCCTCCTCTTCCCCTTCCTCTTCCTATTTCCTTGCTTCGTCCCCTCCTCCCCTCCTTCCCGTACCCTGAAGCAATGCGGTTCTTCCTTGACCTTCCATGGCGATGTTGCCTAAGGCGACAGCTCCGCTGCAGAGGTGGAGGCAGTCAGGAGCACAGACATAGCGAGAAGGTACGGGATGAGGAGAAGAGCGAGGTGGAGGTGGAGGTGGAGGATGGGGAGGAGGAGGAGGAGGAGGAGGAGGAGGAGGAGGAGGAGGAGGAGGAGGAGGGGGAGGAGGATGAGGAGGGGGAGCGGGAGGAGGATGAGGAGGAGGTGGAGGAGGTGGAGGAGGAGGTGGAGGATGGGGAGGAGGAGGAGGTGGAGGATGGGGAGGAGGAGGAGGAGGAGGAGGAGGAGGAGGAGGAGGAGGAGGAGGAGGAGGAGAAGAGGAGGGGTTGGCAAGACGGAGGAGAGAGGAGGGGGACGGGAGGAGGGAGGAGGGAGGAGGGAGGAGGGAGGAGGGGTTGGCAAGAGGGAGGAGAGAGGGGTCGTACTTGCGACGGGTTTGGATGTCAGAGGAGTTGAGGAGAGTGTTGAGATGGCCCAGCGCCTGTAGCCCATCAGGTCCACGCGCCCCACCAGCCCTCAACTCACCTGCGGCATCGAGAGGATGGCTCCCCTTCCCTCTGCCAGCCACGTCAGCACACTCGCGCTGGCGATTCGCCTCCTCTCAACCTTGCGAGACTGAAGAGAGCGCAATCGCGAAGCTTGACTCGCGAACAGTAGACACCTGATGGTAAAGTAAGGATGACGATGACGTGATGATGGAGGAGGAGGAAGAGGTGGGGAGGGGGAAGAGCGGAGAAGCAGGAGGCTTTGAAAACGGGGAGAGCTAAGAATGACAGAGGAAGAGGAGGTCTGATAGCAACAGCGAGGGCAAGCAGGGTCGAACCTGTCGTGAGACCAGGAGAGAGACAAGCTGTGGGATAGACTGTGGGATGCAGGAGAGACATCTGAGCAGCGACATTATGAGCAGCTCAAGGGCAAGAGCATGGTTCCTACCTCGCTCTGACGGGGTTGAGCGCGTGGATGAGGATTGAGGTGGAGGGGGATCCTCCCTTGCCGCTCTCCTGCCCGTCTTGGATCGACTGGAAGCACCAGTCACTGTCGTCCCTTTCCTCAAGGTCCCAAGTTGGAAGTTACATGCAGGTGGGAGACGAGGTGCGGGATAGCGAGGATGGCGAGACGACCTGCCAAGACAGCATTCAATGACCGTCCTCCTGCTCCTGCTCCTGCTCCTGCTCCTGCTCCTGCTCCTGCTCCTGCTCCTGCTCCTGCTTCCTGCTTCCTGCTTCCTGCTCTCCACCCTCCAGTCGTACCAGTGTCACGGAACTCGTTGTCCAAGTGGACAGGGGTGTTCTGCAAGCGGGGATCAGCCTTGAGGGAGCAGCTGAAGAATCTGCTCCACCTGCGTCGCCTCGATGGCTTCCTGCAGGCGACTCGTCTGGACGCAGAAAGGATCAATCGGTCAGAGCGAGGAGGAGGGTCCGTGATGGATGAAGAGGAAGGAGGGGGGCAAGGGAGTGAGGAGGGGCCGGACAGACAAGGCGTACAAGGGGAGGAGGCGATGGAGGGAGGAGGAGATGGAGGAGGAGATGGAGGGAGGAGGAGATGGAGGAGGAGATGGAGGAGGAGGAGATGGAGGGAGGAGGGAGGAGAGGAGAGGAGAGGAGAGGAGAGGAGAGGAGACCGTCGTCTTGTATCCTTCCTTAAGATTCTCGAGCTCAAACTTCAGCCTGGTATCAGCCGTTAGCTGCTGCCGCTCCTGAGCACTACCAGCTCACCTAGCGATCTCCGTGTCTTTCATGGCAACCTCGGCCTTGAGGGCCTCGTCCGGATTTTCGACCTGAGAGGCGAGGGGAGAGGAGAGGAGGGGAGGGGAGGGGAAGCGAGAGGAGCGGGAGGGAGCGGAGGGGAGAGATAAGGTTAGAGTAAGGATGCATTTCCCTGTCCCTCTCACTCACTTTGCGGGAGGCCAGCTCGGCCTTCTGCTGGATCAGCACCTGGAGCGCAAGAGGTTCAGCAAGAGGGCATCTGAGGTAGCGCAGGGAGAGGAAGAGGACGGAGACACTTTGCAGGGTCAGCAGAAGCAGCAGCAGAGGAGGAGGAGGGGGAGGAGGAGGCGAGAGGGAGGGAGGGAGAGGAAGGAGATTCAGACAAGGCAAAGTCACCTGGCAACGATCCTCCGCAATGTCCCTTGCAACCTCCGCGTTCCTCAATTTCTGCGTCAAGTTCTCGAGCTCTGCGCCAGAGGCATGAGGGGGAGGAGAGGAGACGGAGGAGCACAGGTTGAACCTTGTCGCAGGAAGGAAGCTTCAGACTGGACCTGCAGCTCTCTGTCAGCCTCTGGGCCCATCCTCCTCCTCCATCTCCCTACATTGCTGCTGCTCTTATCCCTCTCTTCCCTCAAGTAGTCAAGCTCTCGCTGCAACGCTTGTCGTTCTGATCGCAAGTCAGCAAACGAGGCGAGTCCGAGACTTCCGCTACTTGACTCGTGCTGCTGCGATGCCTCCTCGAGCCTCCGCTTCTCCTCAGCCTGCGCGCAAGTCAAGCCACCTCCGTCAAACTCCAGCTGATCCCTACCAGCTCGTGCTCGATCCTCCCCTTCTCCCTCCGCGTCTCCTTGAGGGTCTGCAAGACCTGGTCGACCAGCAGTCACGCGAAAAAAAACCGTCGAAACGGTCGAGTCAAACCTCGTCCAGCTGCCTCTGAAGGGTTTGCTTCTCCCTTTCCGCCTGCCATGGTCTCACTAACTCACTCGACGCCACCGTTGCCTGCAACTGCCCAGCCGCCCTCTCACCTCGAACTTTTCCTTCAACCGCTTGTCACTGGTGATCCTGGACTCCTCCAACTCCCTCTTGACTCGCATCAGCGCGTCGTTGTCCTACAACAGATCAGACCCCCGGAACTTTCCCGAAGGATTTTCACGCACAGAGGCTGGACTCATCATGACAGCCGGGCTCCTGTCGCGCAAACGTTAACTGACACGTCAAGGGGGGGGGGCAGGAGGGAGGAGGGAGGAGGACAAGGAGGAAACAGGAGGAGGAGATGGAGGAAGGGCGATAAAGGAGGGAAGATCAAACACCTCATGGGCTCTTGCGGAGTCATCGAAGAGGAAATGACTTGCGACAACGAGGTCCTGGGCGACTCAGGTCTGATCTCACTGGATGAACTCGGGCCTTCCGCCTTGTACAGCTGCGAAACAAACGAGTCAAGGAGGGCAATGACGATGATAGAGGAGGAGGTGGAGAGGAGGAGGATGAGGATGAGGATGAGGAGGAGAGCAGCGGGCCGCAAGGGAATCGACTTACCGTAGCGATGAACTCAGGGGAGCCTCGGACGAGCATGACATCGAAGGAGCTGGAGGACCACTCAGCCACAGCAGGGAGAAGACGCAAGGAAGGAGGTCATCGTTGCTGGTCAGGCCCCTCGTACTCACTTGGAGCTCCCGTCGGACTCGCGGAGAAAGGAGAGGTTGACGGAGCTGCGACCAAGCACGTCTCAGGAAGGCCGGGCGCCGCACGCGGTCGCGCGTCACACCTTCCTTCGATGCCAACGATGTAGTTGCGGAGCTCTCCAACGGACTGGAAGGTAACGTCCTCAGCAACGGCGACTCACGTCGTCTCAGAGGTGCATGGCAGGTCTCGCGGGGAAGGGCAGGGCATACAACGAGCAGAGGGATGCAAGACACGCAGACGAGCTCAGGAAGAGAATCTCATAACGCAAGGCAGCGAGTGCGAGACATCAGTGGCAGCAGATTCGTTCACCTTCCCCTCGACATTCTTGCCGTCAATGGCCGTGATCACATCCCCTGTGACAGCCATCAACCGTCAGTCGATCCTCCTCCTCCTCCTCCTCCTCCTCCTCCCCATCCTCCTCCTCCCACCTGGAATGATTTTCCCGCTTCGCTCCGCTGACCCTCCTCGAATCAAGTGGTTCACCACGATCTTGCTCCCACTCTCCTGCTCAGTGGCTCAGCTCTAGAGAGGGAGGGAGGGAAGGTGGGTGAAGGGAGGGAGGGAGGGAGGGAGAGGGAGGGAGGGAGGGTGGGTGGTTGAAAGGAGCGGGGAGGGAGGGAAGGAGGGAGGGAGTAAGCGCACGGGGGAGGGCAGGAAGAGCTCCAGGAAGGGGAACGGAGGAAGCGGAGGGCAGGAGAGCACACGGTGTTATCGCTACCTGGAAGTAGATTCCGACACCTGCGGGTTTGCCGCTCCTGGGCTCCTCTAGAGGGAACATCAGCCTGCAACAAGCACAGAAACGGCTGCTGCTTACCTTTGAAGCCCGACATAGTTTAGGTTCCCAGAAACTGCCTGGCAATACGGTCAGCCATTACATAGTCCCTTGTCGTCATTTCAATATGATCATCCTCATCCTGTCTATAGCTCTTCTAGTTTCCCTCCTAAACTCCATTCCTCTTTGCCGGGTTGTCCACTGCTATGTTTCCACTCCACTGCCCATTCCTCCCTCGTCACAATATCGCGACCTCAAGTCTTAAGCTCTATGTTCATCGACCTGCAACATCCTCCTCCTCCTCCTCCTCCTCGACCTCCTGCTGCTGCTGCTGCTGCTGCTGCTGCTCCCCTTCTCCCTCCCTCCTCCAATTTTTGTCCTCTGCATTTTCTCCTGACCTTTCACACAAACCGTTACAATCTTAACGACTTTGCAACGTTTCTGTAACCGTTGATGATTGAGCGAACTGAAATCTGAAAGCCCTAGGAGCTAGAAAGAGGGGTGGGTACTTATATTACCCCTCCTTCGAAAGCAGATAAGCCTTAGTAATGTAGGGTAGTGTATCAAAGTATTCCTCCTGGGGTAGGGTCCTGGGTGCTAATTTCGGCATGGCGGAGGAGGCGCCATACCCGTCCTCCTCCTCCTCCTCTGCTCCTCCTCCCTCCTCCTCTTCTCCCTCCTCATCGTTTTCACCCTCGCTTTCTCCATCCTCCTCTACGTATTCTTCCTCCCGTCCCTCTCTTCCTGCTCGACCCACCTCCTACTTTAAGGACAGAGCATGGGTCCTCGTGGCTACCTGCGCTCTCGCAGCTGCTGTCGCGCTTGTTGGCTCCTCCTCCTCCTCCTCGGTCGTAACTCGTACCTCCATGTTGGACACGGACAGCGTTGCTGACGAGATCTTGCGCCATGCTCGTGCTCGCCTGACCCATGTCGACACCACCAAGAACGTCAAGGTCAAGGCGGTCAAGCAGCAGGCGAAGAAAAGTGCGGTGGCAGTGGCGCACACGTCCGCTAGCTCGCTGGAGAAGCAGATCGCCGAGCACAAGATCAAGACAAGGGACCTCGTGAGGGCGGTAGGGAGGGATGACAACCTCGACATGTCTGCTGACTGAGGGGCAGGTGGAGGAGCGCGAGAAGGAAGAGGAGAAAGCGATGGGGAAAGAGCTCCAAGACCAGACCGATGACTTGATCGTCGCGAGCATCAAGAAGCAGCAGGCGAAGCGAGGAGGCAGCACCGAAGACTACGTCCTTCAGGTACGTGAAGGAAGCGACGAGGCGGAGGAGCGATTCACGTCATGTGGCAGAACGCTCTGAGCCCGGTGGAGAAGAAGGAGCTGGCGAGGAAGAAGCTGCTGGCCAAGAAGAAATCCGAGGCCTCCGCGATCTCGTTGAGCAAGGGGGCAGCGGGGGAGAAGCAGGCGAAGGTGGTGAAGGGGGCGAACGAGGGGAAGGGAATGGCTACCCAGCAGCTCATGGAGACACCCGCGACGAGCAAGGAAGACACGCAGAGCATGCTCTCGTCGTATGACAAGCAGATCCTTCAGGAAGGACCCGATGGACTTGAAGCAGCTGCTGATCAAGAGCAGGAGAAGGCCCTTGCCCAGCCCGCTCCCCAGCAGCAGTTCGCTTCCTCTGCTCCTTCGGGTCTACAGGCTGGGTTTCCTCCTCCACAGCAGCAGGAAGCAGTGCAAGCCTCCCTGCAGTATCAGGCGTACCCGGCCCGTCCCATGTATCCTCCTGTACCGCAGCTTGCCTACAACCAGCAACCAGCCCCTTACGGCATGCAGCAGTATCCCCAGCAGCAGATAATGTACGCTCCTCAGCAGCCGGCGTTTCCTCCTCAGCAGCCCATGTACGCTGCTCAAGGGCAACAGATGTACGCGCCTCAAGAGATGATGTACTCCCCTCCTCAACAGCCCATGTACGCGCCTCAACAGCCTTACGCTGTCGAGCAGCAGCAGCAGCAGCAGCAGCAGCAGCAGCAGATGTTGTATCCGCAGCAGCAGCAGCAGATGTTGTATCCTCAGCAGCAGCAGCAGATGTTGTATCCTCGGCAGCAGGACATCAGCCCTCAACCGATGTACCAGTATGCATCTCAATCACCATACGCTCAGGTAGTGCTCCTCCTTCCATGCCCCTGCCCCTCGCCTCCTCCTCCTTCTCCTCCTCCTCCTCCTCCTCCTCCTCCTCCTCCTCCTCCTCCTCCTCCTCCTCCTCCTGCCGCCTCTCCTCACTCGGATAACAGATGCCGGCTCCTCCTCAGCCTTCCCTACCCATGAGAGCTGGACCATCACCCACAGCGGTGAAGGCAGCGACAGCGCAGATGCAGGCGGGTTCCGTTCCCCAGCCCTTGTCTGCTTCTGAAGGTCTTGCTAGCGCTACCACAAAGTTGCAGATGGTATTGAATCCTCCTCGTTCTCCTCTGCTCTCCACTGACCTCGCTGAGCAGGCGGGCAACAACGCAGGAGGAGGAGGAGGAGGAGGAGGAGATCTTCTGTGGAAGATGTTTTCAGCACCTTCATCCTCCTACAGCGGGCACGGTGGGCATAAGAACGGAGAGGATGCGACGACACTTTCTGAGAGCTCCACGGGAGCCTCGGACCTGGGATCGCTGTCCTCCTCAGCAGCTCAAGACCCACTGGCTGCGCCTGAGGGTGCAGGAGCGGGGGGAGGGGCGGAAACAACCTTGGGACTCTTGACCCACAAGCTGCGCTTCCGAAGGGAGTAGGAACAGGTAAGGAGGAGGAGGAGGTGGGGAGGGGGAGGGGGAGGGGGAGGGGGAAGGGGAGGGGGAAGGGGAAGGGGAAGGAGGAGGTTTTAGCAGTGTCGCTCATGCCCGGATCAGATGCAGGAGCGGCTGCTTCCATCGGCATGTCGGCGCAGGCCAAGGCAGCGATCAAGGCGAGGATGGACGCTCTGCGAGAGGTGAGAGGATGGTGGGGGAAGGAGCAGAGGGGGCTGACGGGAGAGCAGGGGATCATGCAAGACTTCAAGGCGACCACAAGGATGGGGAAGGAGGCTGGATATCTCCCTCCTCCTCCCGTCCCTTGATATTCTTTGTGTACATAGTTATTGATTAGGCAACATCACTTAACAGACATGAGATGCTCGTGAATGAGACTCTGAAGAGAGAGGAGAGCGGATACCGTTCTCCTCCTCCTCCTCCTCCTCCTCCTCCTCCTCCTCCTCCTCCTCCTCTTATTCTACTCCCTGTTTTCCCCTTCTTTCCTCCGACTTGCCTTCTGCTCTCTCTTGAGCTAGTTCCTATTCAATCGAGAAGAAGCTCGCGGATCCGGCGGAGGCATGGCAAGAAAGTTCGTGCCAGTCACCCTGCGTCTTCACGTAGATGAGAGGAGGC